GCCCACCCAAATTACCTACCTTGACATTTTAAAATAACTTCACACTGATCTATGAACCATATTAGGCACTATCTTGTATTAGTGGGAAAGGATTATAATGTTGCTGTTAGAATCATTGCTGCACTTTTCCACTCTTCCTCTATTGGGGGGGTTTTCAAGTTCTCAGCATCACTAGTGAAACATCAGCTCCAAAGGGGTTAAAAGCAGTTGAAAAACAACTGCAGACAGGCTAGTGCTGTTCAACAAAATGAAGTCACGTCCAATGAATAAAGCTGATTAAGAATAAATGGCAAAGTGCTGCTAGCTTCTCTACACTGTCCCACATTAACACTGCTAGAATTGTAATGAGAAATAAAATAAGAGTCCAAGAAGCATATAAAATCCTTTTTTTTTTCCTCCCTAGGAATAAGAAAGTAGCTTCTACCTATTTAGGTACCAACTTTCCTCAAAGAGATTCATTGACAGGAGATCAGATAAGTGCCTCAGATGAACAGGAGACATCGCTGTGAGGTTTAACAAGGACGCTCTCAGTAAGAACTGCACAGGATATAGATCTTGTTTCCAACGGAGCCTTGCCAGATCCCCAGATCTAATGATCCTTAGAATAAACTGAAAGATAAACATCTCCCTCTAGACACTGTTGGCTATATCATTCCTGTTGCAGGGAAGAAGGAAAGGGGGGAAAAAAAAGGTCATTTTCACACCCGAAGCAAGGTTGGATCGCTAAGAAAATGTTACTAAACACAAGTTAGTCAGGTCTTTGAAAGGTAGGCTGTACTGCAGAGAAAAGCAGCAAAAAAAAATAACCCTAGTAACTCTCATTTTAAACACTTTTCAGTAGTTAACTATGCTTTAGAATCTATTTTATGTTAAAGCAATCATCTATAAGAGACAATTTTATAGCCAGTCTTTATCCACATCAGGAGACGTGACACATGCTCCTCCGAGTCAAGTTTAAGATGATTGCAGCAAGAACCCCATCCTAACAAGCAAGTTATCATGAGTTATTTCTTAATGTGTGGCTGTATCACGCAGGGGTTCCAGCCAGCTGGGAACAGTCCTCCCAGCCTGCTTCACCCCTGTATTAACTCCAGGATTACAAGGGTGTGCAACAATTCAAGAACAATTATTTAAACTGGAAAACTGAAGGACTACATAGTAATATTGTAGAGGGCAGTACTTCAGGAGCAATGATAAGTCTGTATGGCAAATACAGTGAAAACCAACTCTTTTTATTCTAAAAACCAACTGGATAAAATCCAACAAGGGTTATACCTGCATGGAGTTGTTCAGGCAAACTAATTTGCATTAAAAACATATGAAGTGCTTCATGCCTTGTTAACAGTTCCTTTTAGCTAAACTGTAATAAAACAGACTCAGCATGTCATTTTTTATAGGAGAAAGATCAACTAAAAGGCATAGAATTAAATAAAGAGCAATTATTTCATAATGAAGCATTCCTTCTCCCCATCAATGACTACTTTGACTTCACATACAAAAGCACCTGATACACCATGCATAAAATGATTACAAAATGAATCCATGCAAGCAATTTCATATTTGAATCTACTACTCATCCCCAAGAATCAGCAGCTCACTGAAGGCAGACAAAGAACCAAGGCATTATTTATGCAGAAAATAAGAAATACACTAGAGCAAGGCAATGATACGCAGCTCTAAGTTTTAGGTCTAAGCTCTAAGACCCTCAAGTCTAAGTTTTGTATCCAGACAATAAAAATGCAACTGCTTATTATCTGCATATTTCACAAGGTTGCCACATATTGCCAGGGATCATTTTATCATCTTTATTACATACGAAAATAACCACTGATTGATTTTACATTTAAAATGGGAGCATGCAACTATAAGAGGAAAATAATGTAAGCAAAGTAACACTGGGAAACATAATAGAAACAAGGAGTTACATTATCTAGACACAGAAAACTGCATTAGTTTACACAGGAGAAAAAACAGACATTCCAGGCAAATTTTTCCCCATTCATCTAGTTAAGAACAAGCTTACTACTAGAGATAGAAAAGAAATTTCCATGTAAATCATGTAATACTTTTGAGGGACATATAATGGTCAAGAAAACTCAACCCTAAAATTGCATCACCAAAACCAGGTGCAGACTGCACAAAGAATATCTTTTTTACTTTCATGGGTCCAAGGAAGTGGCAATATTTATTTACTGCTTCTCTACGTTCTAACTTGTAATCTTTCATTCAAATGCAAGTTATCATGAACTCAAAATCCAGGAGGAAGTCAGACTGCATTTTACTTCCCTTAATGCAGCTAAACACAAGTTCCATGGCACATAATATACTCTAAGAACTAAACCAGCAAAACAGAAGGGACTGGACTCTGTCTCAACATACAGACCTAACTCCTTGTCAAGATCTTTACTAATATTATAAAGTTTTAATGGTAAAAAAGAAAAATCTGAGTCAAAAATGGAACAGGTTGGCACTCACAGCAAGAGCAGAAGTAAGAGGGAAGGCAAAAACAGTGAGAATGAGATGCTTGATTTAAAAAAAAACTTTTTTACTCCAAATTACAACACTTCCATTTTTATGGGATTATCCGGAACACAAATGCAGCGAGGTGATGACGGTTAAACTAGGTTTGAGTTTGACAAGGATAGGAGGAGAAGGAAGTGCTGATTTCCACAAAGACCTCTTTAGGATTAGAACTATGATTTCCTTTCTCAAAACACCTCAAACACATTGCAGTGTTTTTTACAGTTTCTGATGTGACGCCCTTACACACATTCCATATCTGTAATGGACCTATCACACGTTACTAAACCACAACTGAGTGAGAAAGAAGCAACCCCATTCTAAACACATCTTCAAATACATTGGATCATATGCTGCAAGATCCCTGTCAGTATTAGGTTCAGGTCCCTGCCTACTGCAGGACCAGGATTCTTGCATTTTGTTTTGCACACAAATGCTATAAATACTGTTACAAAGGATAAATCCAAAAACTGTAGAGCATTGAGGCAATGTGGGAAAGTACAGCAGAAAAAAACCTAGGAGGCAAACTGTTGTTAGAACAGAGCACCCCTTCACAGACAGCTCTTGCTTCTTCCCAAGTAACGCATTGGATTTCCAATTCAACAACCAAAAGCTTGGCTGCAGGTGATTTTTTTTTCCTGTATTTGGTGCCCAGTGTTTATCTGATTGCCTAAGATTTCATTTTCATGGTCCAACTGCCGAAGTGCCAAGGTTTATCACTGCTGGTTTCGTGCCCGTTTACTCAGGTTAACTTGGCATTTGTCTGCCTATGCCTGAAAGAAGCACACTGAGAAGCTCTGTCATGCTTTGTTCCTTTTAAAAGAAAGGAGATGCTAAGAGGACCTGCTCTCCCTGCCCTCAGAAGTGAGTAGCTGTCAGCTGCTTAATTGCCCACAATTTTTTTTGAGGATCCAACAGCTGAAACACACTGTGAAATTTAACAGAAATTCCCTTCAAACACTCAGAAGCATCATCACTAACACAGAAATAACTTGGGCAAACACCAAGATTCCAAAATGTTCTCCAGAAGCAATATTGCTGAGCACCCCAAACTGCTGCCCACAGAGACAGGCAAGTGTTTAAACATTACCAGACTTACTGGGCTACACTACAACTTTTTATGGTTGGGTCAAATTAATCAACACATAAGGAGAGGAAAAAAACCCAAACAACCCTGCAGTGAACAGTTACTGAAGCCACAGGTACTATTTGTTATGTAACACAATTCTCACAGCCTACACTTTGCTAGGAAGGAAGAACTATGTAGTATTCCCTTATCCACATGTATTAAACTTCAGTGAGTTACTATTAAATTATTTGCACCTCTGAAGAAGTTTTCAAATATTTTAACAGCTGTTCAGGTCCTCTGTAGTGCTGGTTCATGGTCTAGTCTGCTACAGCTACTAAAAATGCATTACATTTTTTATGTATCCCTGTTTGGAGCTGGGGAGGAAAGAATGGGACAAGAATAAAAATCTGACAAGCTGAAGCTGCTCATTTTCACAACCCACAAATCATTCAAAGTCTGCTTACAACACAGAAGAGTATCTCAAATCCAAGCAGTGTTAAGAAACAAACCACACAGGAAAGACACAGGAGCTTTCAATGAAGGTAAAAATTGTTTTCTTTTTAATATGCACTTAAGTCACAGTATCTGTTTTGAGATTACACCAGGTAACACTTTCATTGTATTCTCAAAGTATTTTCCAAGAGCCTGTCTATATACTGAAGAAGCAGGTACTAACTAAAGGTACACAAAACCTGTGTTTTCAGAGCAAAAATATAGAGTGACCAACATTCTTTCCATCCATCTTTATCAATAGTTGCACAACACACTGTTTTTAAAAATGTAAAAGCTATCACAGTAAGCAAATGAAACTAAAGGAGATAAGCATTTCAACATCCTTCTGGCAGTTGTTACCTAATTTCAGTAGTGAAATTAAACCATAATCTAATAAGACCATTCGAAATGATTTTACAAACTCTGAATTTAAGGCCATTTTCAATGTCCCACATTACTCTGGGGAAAAAAAAAAATCTTTAAGAAAAAAAATCATTTAATGCAGCTTGTAATAATAGAACAGAACACATTAAAAAAGAGCAGCTATTGATCAGAACATACTGAAATGAAGACAGACCCCGTGTGCTAGTGGAATTTTAGTTGAAAGCTATACATTTAAACACACTATTCAAGTCAAAACCCAAGGTGAACTTGAGGGTAAAAACCCCAGCTGTTAAAGCATTAACTGTGTCTGATAGCAGATTACACAGTACCTACACATTTTTATTTTTTTGTTTTTGCAGTATTTATTTGCAAAGCTGTAGCACTGAGATTTCTCTTTCCACAATAAATTATTTACTATGATACAGTGTATAGAACAGTGGTGAAACATTTGTTGACGACTTAGAAGACAGACATACTGCAAAAGTCCACATCTCTGAAAACAAGAAATGGAGACAACAGCCTCCTTGCATCTTCATTAACTAGATCCCTTCTCCTCTTTGGCAGCAGAACCCTCCATAGGAGTAGCTTCCAAATCTTGGCTTAGCTTCTCTTTTTCTTCATTTTCATCCTCTTGAGGGTAAAGATCTGGGTACTTCTGCATGCATTACTGCATGGCACGGCATTGGTCCACACAGTCTGATCCTTTTATTTCTTCCGTGCTATAGTGGAAACAGGAGAAGGCTGACTTGAACTGTTCCCCACAGGGACCACTAGCCATTCCACCCAGACATGGGCAATTCCAATTGATATCTCCATTGGGCAATATCAATCCTGAACAAACAAGAGAGAAGAAAAGTTAAGTGCTCCTTCCAACAACTGGTTTCATGTGGGGAAAGCTGCCAGGCTGCAGGTGTAAGCAGAAGTGCTGACAATGCCATGTTAGCTCTGTAGCTTCAGGGGTGGCCAAACACCTTTCACTTCCTGGCCACTCTGTTTCTACCTCTGATCTGTATCAACTTTTACTAGGCACAAGTGAGATTAGTTCCATATCCATACCCAAATTAAGTCTTCCTCCCTGGACTGCAGACCACTGAGAATATTCTAAGGAAACTGCAAAACAGGTCAAGCCAATCCACGTGCCAGACTCTGTTAGGTGAACAAGCAAGCCTTGAAATCACAGCATACAAGTCAATAATTTCATTTCAGTATTAAGAGCAAAATTCTTTTAAATCAAGAGGGATGAATGCATTTTTCTTCTTGTTTTAGATGAACTCTGAAATACTAACCCACAGCTTTCCCCCTTAAAATTTGAACTGGAAAACCAGAATTCCAAAACCAAAAGTCAGTTTATTTTAAGGCACTGATTAAGTCATGTGCCACAGAACACAAGGAATAGTGAGAGCATGTCAGCCTGTCTGGTTCCAGAAACCAAATTGTGCTTTAGATCACAACTGACTGAGGTCTCATTTTAGACTCTAAACTGAAACAGCTGTAAATTTCTGGAACAGTTAAAGTCATCACACAAGCAAGGTAAGATTTAAATAGGAGTATGTTCTTCAAGACATCAATTTATTTGCACAATGAAGTTCAAGCAGCAAGTCAGAGAACTTATTTCCTCTGTAAGTTTCATAAATCCTTTTAAACAGGAATAGAAATGTAATACAATGGACTTGGTCACGTGGACTTCCAAAGTGTCTAATATACTGCTCTAAAGCAATACATCTACATTCCTTCTCTCTGCTCTGCATTAATATACATGTAGTTATGTTCATCTATGAAGAACAAGAGAAGTACTGTGCTGTGATCCAGTCTGGCTTCTTCTGCACTTCCAGTTTGCTCTCCTCCTTTCTAGAAGCATTCCCTAACTTCATCTCCAGTTTGACTTTCTGCAGAAGCTAACATCATGTGCATAAACCTGAAGTTTAAGTACTTTCCCTTCAGAAGCAGGTATGAAAATACTGTCAGAAAATACAAGTTGCATTAATTCTAATCCAAACATGAAATTGTATTTAGGGCCTGATGTAACTTGAAGGTACTTAAAATAGTCCCACAGAATTCAGTAGGTCTACTTATTTTCTTTGTCCTGTGGGATCATGAAGTTCCAGAGGCATACTTCACTCTCACTAACAGCTCCTCAGACACTGGGCCACAGTATCATGAATCTTATGTACTGGAGGCAAAAGCAGCTCAGTCACATTTATTGCTTTATTAAAAGAAAAGAAAGGAAAATGTTATTCTGATTTGCAGCTCATCAACACTGTGCTCTAACTCAGCCAACGCAGTTAGCAGAGATCACAGTATCAGGCAAATCCCTGGGTTGAACAGTCTCCTTTTCATTACAGAACATAACAGCTTGCCACTATAGTAATAGTCATTCTTCGCAGATCATGCTTTATTTGGCAAGATAGTTTTGTAACATATCTATAATCATCACTGTACTGAGAAGATATAGTACAGTGCATCATGGCATCTCCAGCTGCCTGGAGGCAAAGCAGAACTTCTGAGGCAGGGAAATGAATGGCTGGTGCCAGATTCCTTATTGCCAAGGATGGTATAAAGCAGAGATGTTGACCATACAGTGTAGAAGAAATCCAGCTTGCTTCATAAACTAGATTTTGAAGTCCTATATTCCTCCTCACTATCATCAACCATTTTAAACAGTCACTTTTGCCAATATTTCAAAAAGAAAAGTTTTGAAATGTTTGTGAAGACAGCAAAGCAACAAAATTACTTGTAATTACCTTAAAATAAATTGTTCCTCTTAGGACAAGAACTGCCTTGTAAGCATGCAAACTTTAACAACACAAGTTATTCCATGAACAATACATTCCTGTATATCACATGAGCACTGACAGGCACCGATTTGATCACTGAAATAGCATTAGGTTCAGTTCTAATATGCATAGAAACCATGGTCTAAAAAAAACCCCAAAAACAAATAAGGCAAGCATTTCCTCACTGATAATTACAGCAGAATGCACACTTCAATGAGTCAGGGGATCAGCTAGCTTAGAACACAATTAAAACGGAAACAGATGTCACCCATCACTCTCCCTGAATCGCAAGTCTGCAATAGACAGGATTACTAATTTTAATAAAAACTGAATTAAAATGTCTTTCAAATGTAGCCTGAACCACAGCGATCCAGGGACTCATTATCTACTTGAGCCTGTGCTTGGGGGAGAAAAACCAACCCTGTTTACATCACTGTAGATCAAGGCTTGTGTTAGCAATTAACTGACGACATCACACAACCCCATCTCTCTTAGCTCCTGGGATCCATTAATATCAAGGATGAAGGCAGGCACATCTGCATTTATGTCAACACTTTTCTTTGCACTTGGCCTAATGGAGTCCTAAGTTCCACTGTTGTTCTGAGAAGTTTTTTCCCTGTTATACAACAAACACTCCAATAACAAGTTTATCTGCCTATGATTCATAGTGTAAGGTGACACACATAGGAAGCAGGACTGAAAGGGACATCAGTCATACAACCAGGCCTGTAAATCTCATTGTTCACCAAGTTCTTTCTTGAAAGGACCAGGGGGTTAGTTTCAGCAGTCCTCTGTGGAAACCATTTCAAAATCGTCTCTAAAATGACAGTAGCAAGTCTGGAAAAGCAGAAAAGAGAGGACAGCAACAACCTGTGTTTGAGATGCAATTCTAGAAGCAGTTTTAGCCAACTCTCCTATCACAGATGTAATGCTAATAAAAATTATCCTTCATGCATAAAACTCATCAATGCCTTCTTCATACAAGGATAAGACAATAAGAAATTATTCTGATGGAAGCAAAGATCTCAATGAAAACTGGAGATCTTTCACATTTAAATTCTTCCATCTGCAACACGTAAGACCAGAAAGAAACTTTACAGTGAGAATGCTATTTCAAAAACACTGCAAATGAATTCCATTTGTTTCCATCAGCCACAGCTGTTAAAAGGCACATATGGTGAACTTTGAGATATACTGCAATATAAAATGCTACCTTGAACCTACCCTGGGTTTGTCTGCCTTCCCATCCACACGGCTTCATTTCTTTCAACGTTTTTTGATTTAAAGTGAGCCGTTAACATTTTGCCTTCCAAAAATCTCATAACCCATAGAACAACAAATAAATCTCATAAGTGACAGAAATAAAAAAAGAATACTATACAACTTTATTTTCTCCCAAAGGAAGCAGAGCACAGGTTTTCCTGAGTGGCTGACTGACTAAAGCAGACTCCTCAAAGAGCAGTGTTTGTTAATGCCTGAAGCAAAACAAGAACTATACAAAACTAGCAAATTACATGTTTATCTTAAATATGAAAACAGCCCCTGAAAAAAACAAACAAAACCTCAAATAAAAGTTTCATCTCTGTTAGAAAGCAATACAGATTATGGCATATCTATTCAATAAATCTAGTCTTTCTCAGATGCAATTATTCCATCCATAGCACAGCAGAAAAGATTAAGAGTCATTCCAGTTAATTATGCCACAGAAGCTGAACCCTAGAAATGGAGTCTTCTATTCCAAGTAGAAGCTAAATGAGAAAAGCCTGCATGTTGCTTTATGTACAGCAAAGCCCATTCCAACTTCTTTTAAATAAAAACCACATGAGCCAGAGCTTCTGCACTTCAACATATTCCAAAACATTTTGTCCATATGTCTGTCTTGCCCACAGGTTTCACTCCCATTAGATGCAGCTACATTCTGTGATATGTCAGTTGGTTCTCTGGTTTGATCTGACACACTGTAGCCTGAGATCATTCAAGTGAGAAGTTTCCAGAGAATCCTTAAAACACCGCAGTAATCGTCTAGGAAGCAAGTGATCTAACATGCTGTAAATACAGGATTGGTAGAAAAAAACCCCAGCACCTCTTCCCCTCCTCCATGGCCTTTCCATAGCCAGCAAAATACACATCAATGAATCTGGCATTTAAGTAAGGAGCAAGTGGCTCTTTTGATTGTGGCTACTTTATTACCCAAATATATTGCTCAAGACTATATTCTTGTGGTATACATATGATCAGAAAAGGATTAATTTTGGGTGGGAGGGTGAAGCACAACACAGAAGGAAGAGAACCCCCTCTTTAGTGGTACTAAGAGAATTGCATACTTACAGGAGCAAATACTCTTAAGAATGAACTCTGCTCAGCTAAGGGTTAAGTAGCATACATGAATTATCTGTAGGTTCCATCTCCCAGCCTGGTCACAGCAATAATGGATAGAGATGCCCCACAGAATTTACTGCCTGAAGAGGTCTCTGTTTGAAATCTTTAGGGACCAAAGCACCATTCCCATGGTGAAGATGGTAAATCCCAAAGTATAAGATTGTTTCCACCAAACAGGCAGTTTGGATACTGGGTCTTAGACAGCGAAACAACCGACCTGAAAATATGAACTAGAAGAATTCCTGACAAGATACTAAACCTGCAGTTTTTGAACACCTTTCTGAAACAGAAATGCTCTTATTGTTCTCAGTTGGGTCATTATAAAACTGAGTGAACTTATCAATGCTGATAAGCAAAAATTTAAATGTATCCACTGACTACATACAGTTGTAACAAAGCCAAGACAGGCAACTAAATGCAAGATCATTTCAACACAAATCTACGTATGAAAAAATTTAATCTCATAGGAAGATAAACTACATAAGGTATCAGATAACGAAGCCACCCTGCGTGCTGCAGCTGCTAAACCGTGCTTCAATACTGCACTGCCCTCTAAAGGTCACAGAGAAACTTGCATAACTTTCACTTTCTAACAAAATTTCAGAGTGAAGACTTTACTTCAAGCTCAGCTGAAAGCCATGAGATCACTTCACGACAAGTGAAAAGGCTGAAAGACTTGTAAGCATAAAGACAATCAAAAAAAAAAAACGTAACCCAAATTCACAGATGCTCATAAAAAAATTATGAGGGTAAAATTTATTTAATCATAATAGATTATTCCATTTATCCACTAGAAACAACCTAAAATAGGCTCCGTGCAACTGGAATATTAAAAGTCTTGATCTCAGAAATATTCTTGTCTTTTAGATCTGCATTTGCAGGTCAGAACTACTTCATATCAGTAATAGTATTGTAATCTCCACTTCATTTGATTTTCAACTACAACAATCTTACCTTGAAAAGATGTAAGTTATCTGAATTTACCTATCATGCTCCATTTAAGCTACTACTAGTCAGTGATAATATTGCTGCTCGTGTAATACAGGATTAGATAAAATTTATATTAAATCACATATTCAGAGACCACCAAATTCGGCAATTTCAACTGCACAGATGAAGGTGAGAAATTTACATCAATGTCAGTGGTACCTAACTCACTTCAGCTTCTCTGAAAATTGTACTTTGTCATTTAAAACAGTGAAAAAAACCCCATAATTTTAACTGGTTAAGCTCTAATTTTGTTCATAAAAGTTAAAAGCAAAAAGATGGAAAAGTTTTTTGTGTATATCTCTGGCTACTAACCAAAACTACAGGCCATCAACTGACATATATCAGCAGGTCTTTGGAAAGATCATTAAAAGTGTTGAGGAAAAAAAGGAAAGCATGTCACTTGTGATGTCCTAATCTGGAAGTTAAAACTGGTAAGATTTTGGCTGTTTATCTGCTGAATAACCAGCTGCCCTCAAGTTTTTTAAAACGAAGGAACAACTTGTTCCTACTTTATACAAGGTTTATTTTCAGTTGTTCTTGTTTTTTGAGATTGTTAGAATACAACATAAGTGATGTAACACTCCTTACTTCCATTCTTCTGCTTACTACTGACCTTGTTCTTCATAAGGGTCATCTGGGTCATCTGCAACCAGCTCAGCACTGCTTGGTGTCTCATGGTCCTCCTTGGTCGCAAATATAATTCTGTCTTTTCCTACCATGCAAGACACAACAAGCAGAAGTTCAGGGAAAGCTGTGACAGGAGGAGTCATTTACCAAGCTGCTGAACAGTGCAAAGTAATGAGACACTCAGCATGAGACATTAACGTTAAATGCAACAGAATTCATTCACTATTATCAATCACCCTCAATTAGAGCAGTGATGGTTCAGAGGAATGCATACACAACTGATATTCTCTTCTTCTGAAGTTCCATTTTTCACAGCAACATACTGTAATGGGTGCAGATCACAGTACAGTTCATTGAACTGTGAAGTTAAAAAGTGGTTTCAAAACAAGCTCAAACTGCTCAGTTACCAGGACTAGCCAAGGTGAAAGAGTTAGACAAAAAAAAAGGAGTGGAAATAAAACTATACTAAATTACAGGAAACTGTTCAATAGGACACTTAATAACAGTACTCTTCATTAAAGATTGCTGTGATATTTTACAGTAATTATCTGAATTAAATACTGAAGAGCATTGCAACTGTGTAAAAGCAACTATACTGAAAGGTGCTGTAAACATTACCAAGCATAGAAAACCAACACAGTGTAAATCTTGCTCTTCTGCCACTCTTGATTAAAAAAAAAAATCAATTTAAAACTTCAATTTAAAAAAAATAATCAAGAGTTCTGTAGTGGGGCAGGCGAAGGCTTGCTGGAAACCTGAGCAGAGTTTTTTAACTACTCTGCACGGAGGCAGGCACAAGCAGAAAAGGACAACTAGCTGAAACTCTTCTGAATGCACAACTGAGTATTCATTGAGTGGAAAAAAAATACTGTAAGCTCCCCAAGAACTTGCTTTCCTTCTCCAAATTCATAAGGATTCACTACAGTGATTTGTCATGTTAGAATTGGTATCTTCTTGCCCCTCAATGTCACCTCAACCAGCAGATATTCAGCAACTTTGCTCAATAACCTATATACATTTAAACATGTCTGAGAAATGCATAAATCTAAACCCTTTTTAAAAGAGGAGGTTTTCTATCAACTCTGCACCATACCCCAACAAATTTTACCATGTAGAATGCCCAGATATTTCTCATACAAAAGAAATCACAGGCATATAAACTCTAACCCCCATGACTGTAACTTAGTAGGATGCTGTAAGACAACTTGCAGATCTTGCAAAGATCCTAAAAGTTGTTAAAATAAATAAATTAAAAACAAAGCAAAGAGGGCTACAGATTATGACTACCTCACCACAGTTTATAATCAGTATTCAGTGTGCCGAGGTTTCTAACTTTGAAACAGCACTTAGAAGTACAGAATGGCTTCTTTTCCAGTTTGAAACTTTAGATTTATAGTCACTTTAAATTACTTAAATAGAGGGGAATGTATCTCCCAGGATATTAAGCCTCATAAACAACACAACTCGTACAACGTAATACCTTGCACAGATGCACAAGCATAAAGCTGGCACTCTACCCACCCTGCCCATCGAGAA